GCCTTTAGCAGGACACGATGTGCATAGGGAAGGTTCAGAAAGCGCAGTTGGTCTGCAGGTGATACGACCTCATATTAACCCGTTTCTAAGTTGCTTTTCTTATGCAACACTGCAAAAAAAACTTTGCGCCATTTGTCATAAGTTTTTTCACACGCTACTGAAGGCTTACTGAATTTCTACTTCACCATTTGCACAATTGTCGTTCAGTCGTCGCATTTTTCAGCTCATGATCAAAGGTCATTCAGTCTTCCTTCTCAAGCAGTTCTATGCGCAGGTTGGTACTAAGTTGCTAGTTAGATTTTGCCTTAACAACTGAGTGAAATGGATTTCAGGCAGAAGTTCGTGACTTGGACTATACGCTTTTGAATTTCCGGACACGCGATGAGCAGAAGCGATGGCGTACTTTTCCACTTGATCAGTATGCTCTCGTGGAAATGTTATTTCCTGCATTAAGGTAATAATCCATATTTTTCACCAATATTAAATTTCTCTCGATACGGTCCGCTTTGTTGTGTCATCAACCATAAGCTGTTTTTGCCTTATATCACTTATTGTTCATGTTCCCGCCCATCCTCGCAATGTACCTTAATTTTGCCGTCCCCCCCCTCCCCTGCTGCCACCGGAGACCTCCCCTTACTTCGTATTCTTTACGCCTTCCACTGGTCTCTTCCACTTCCACCCCCGAATCAACATCTCGTAGTGGAGGACCTCATCGCATTCACAATATCATGTCAGACGGGATCGTTTCTGATTTTCTTTCCTAACCTTAAGAAACAACACTGTTTTGAACGTCAGGTTTATTGGTAGGACGAACTGGTTCACAAAGTCACTGGTTCATATAATTCAAGGACCTGCTTACTTTGACGTGTTGTGTGTTTCAGTGTCACGGTTATTGATAAGGACCACAAAATGACAATATCAACTGAAGGAGAGGGATCGACTAGACTTCTTGCCCTGGTGGTTGATCTTCTTGATACTCTTCTGGAAGACTGGTGCGTTTTTCAAGATTCACTTCCAGTCTGGTTTCAACAATTTCCATTTTCTTTAAAGGTATCCAGCGATTGGCACCAGATTCGTGCACTCGTCAGAAGGAGATCTGCTGGTGAATCGATTTGTGCCGTGCTCGAAATGTGCAAGTGAAATCACTACTGAGGTTCAGCGCGCTCGTGATGATGCTGATCTCTCTTCGCGGAAAAGCAGTTTGGGGTTGGCTTTTTGCTTTAGGTGATCACAAATCAGTCTTCGAAACTTGCTCTGCTTTAGAGTGCGAGGTTCGAAAACTACCGGTGATATCTCAACTCTCTACGTCATACATTGCTTTACAATCGAGGAGTGCATGCTTGCAGGTTTGTGAACTGTGTGAATTGCAGAAGGGTGATGTTGTTCAGGTAAGCTAAGCAAAAGTTGCGGTCAATTGTGATCTCCATTCTTTTGCGCAGACCATATTTCCTTTCGAGATTGCAAATAACTTCGATTACTTCTTCTCAAGACAATGAAAACGCATATAGCTTCTAGGTCGCGAATACGGATGGCTCGAGTGTCCGTCGCACAGTGGTGTACACATGAGGGATGTAGCTCCAGACACGGTAATGATGATTGAAATACTCATTTGAATTTTTTGAGGGATGCCTAAGAAATGAGGATTTGTCTCCCCTGATTTCTCTGTTTCCTTAGTCGCCTCTTATCGCAGTACCTTCACAGTCGTTTTTACCAACCATTTGGCAGATCTAAAAGTTTTTTCATTAAAGTTTCATTAAGTTTCATTCGAAATTAGCTTCCATCGAATGGCCGTGAGGTATTATAGTTTGCACAAGTT